CCATATCTGGCCATGATAGTAGATTAAACCTCTGGAACTGTAAGTCACCCCAATTAAAAGTTTTCCTTTGTAAGAGTTGCCATGGTCATGGTGTCTCTTCACAGCAATAGAAACCCTAACTAAGACAGAAGTGAAGCGGAAAGTTACATTTCTCATTTCTATCCCATTGTCAGCTGTTAGGAGGAATGCTAAATTAGAATTGTCATTGTGCAAAACTGTGACAGTTCCCCAGATGAAGAAGAGAACAACCAAACATGCAGCGATGCTTCTCAGTAGATCTCCAAGGAAACAAAGTCAGCGCTTCCTCCTCACTGCAACTCTATTCACAATAGCCACAATGAACGGTTAAAGAAAAGGAGGAATATACACCCAGTGGAATACTACACAGCCACTAAAAAGGAGGAAACCCTGTCATTTGGGACAATGTGGATGAACTTAAAGGGCAGGTGAGCTGTGCTGGAGAAGATAAACCTGTGGAAGTTAGCCACATGCTCAGGTCGCCCGGGTAGAGAGGGAAGTCACCTAGCTGGTCCCTGAACACAACTTCTGTGAGCAAATCTCCAGATCTATGTCACAGACACCCGAAAAGGTATGTCTGTGCTGTCCAGCAGCCGCATCCCAGGAGCCTGCTGTGCCCAAATCTAGATGGTAGCAGAGGTTCTGTTCATATAGAGTGCTGACAGTTCTATCTGATTAAAAAGATTAAAGAGAGAGCCACCATACAGCACAGCAATGTTTCTGAAAAGATCTCCAAGGAAAACAAAAAGGAGTAAGGAAGCCCAAAGCATCAGAGGGCTTAGTAAGGTACATCGGAAGAAAAGAGAAGAGGAATGCTCTCTTTTGAGTCAGGACTCAGAGCAGGCAGACTCAGCCAATGGTGTTCCTAGGGACGGCTCTCGGGGGCATGAATTTGGGAGAAGGAAAGGATAATATCACGGGGGGGGGGGGGGGATCTGCCTTCCTAGGACTCACTCCCTTAGCCCAGCTGGATTTACTAGGGAGGAGGCAAGGGTGTGTCTCTACCTAGAGGTGTGGATTCCATTCTTTTTTTTTTTTCCTTTTTTGGTTTTTCAAGACAGGGTTTCTCTGTGTAGTTTTGGAGCCTGTCCTAGATCTCGCTCTGTAGACCAGGCTGGTCTCGAACTCACAGAGATCCGCCTGCCTCTGCCTCCCGAGTGCTGGGATTAAAGGTGTGCGCCACTGCTGCCCTGCAGATTCCATTCTTTACTGTAACACATTTGACAGACACAGTTTTTACTCGTCAATTAAGCCAGGAGAAAGGAGCTATTTTCAAGACTTTGCCTTAACACAGCAAGTCAGTAGAAGCTGAGCCTGTGAAGACAGGTAGGAGCGAGACTTCGGATGTGCGAGGACACCAGCAAAGAGCCCAGGCCCTCCTACCTCCCTTCGCTCGCTTCTGAATTATGACCACTTTCCTCGCCTTCGGAGAGGCCTCGGGCCACCTCTCAGTGGTGAAGTGATTAGGACTATGCTAGATCAACAATCTCGAAAAGCAAGGGCCTCATGTTAAAGATTACCCTGTGCATGTTGGGCATGGTGCTACATGCATGCCTTGGGAGGCAGAGGCAGATGAATCTCTGTGAGTTCAAGGCCAGCCTGGTCTGCAGAGAGAGTTCCAAGACAGCCAGGGCTATGCTGGGAAACCCCGAGTCAAATAAACAAACGAATGAATGAATGAATGAATGAATGAAAGTTTCCTCGAGCTTCAGTGGTGGCTCACCCCTGTAATCCTAGCACTCGGGAAACAGACAGGAAGATGGTGTCTGCTTGGACCACACAGTGAGGTCCGGCGCAGGAAGGGAGCTCTGGTGGATCTCATGTTCAGAGACAGGTGACAATTTCAGTATAGCATGCCTTTCTCCTTCCTGTCTCCCCCTGGAAAGTCCCCATGGTGTTCTCATCTTCCACGGTTTAGTGTATTATAAGCCACTCCACATGAGCAGATCCCCTGCTATCATCCGGGTGAGCACAGCAGACCCCTGGGAAGCAGCTGCTGGCATGCATTTCAGGTGTCCGTGACGGAGGTCCAGAGATTTGCTCACGGAAGTGTGCTCTCAGGAACCAGCAAGTGCGGGTAAAGGTGCTTGCCACGAAATCCTAAACCTGGAGACCTGAGTTGGATCCCCAGAACCCACATAAAGATGGAAGGAGAGAATCAGTTTCCACAAAGAAGTCCTTTGACCTCCACAGATGTCATGGCATGTGTACACACAAACAATAACAACAACAACAATAATAATAAATTGAAAAAAATTAAAAATAAGTTTGTACTTAAATATAATTACTGTCTCTTGTATATGACATAGACTATATGTGATAAATCTAGGGGATGAGGAATTGTGCAGGCACCTTAGGTCAGGAATGCTTTAGGGACTATCATACTGGAAGACGACTTTCACATGGTCCCATTTCCCCAGCCCTGGACACACACCAGGGCACTCAGTCAATTTCCCATTGCTATAATGAAATACACAGAGCTGAGTGCTTTATAAAGGGGATAACTGAGCTCATGAGTTTGGATCCCTTCTCTTCCCTTTTCCTTTCTTTCTTCTGTTTATTTTGGAACATAGGCTCTCACACTGTAGCCCAGGATAGACTATAGAGACCAGGCTGGCCTCACATTTATGGTAACCGTCTAGCATCAATCCTTTCGATGCTTGGATTACGGACACGGGCCATCCTTTCGGCCTTCACTTGTCTCTTTGTGGGTTTTGTGCAGTTTGGTTTTTGTTTTTTGAGACAAGATCTCTAACTTGCTGTGTAGCTGACAGTGGCCTTTTTTATATTCCTGATCCTCCTGCCTCTACCGGCTGAGTACTGGGATTATAGGTGTGTGCTGCCACACCTACTTTTCAAGTTATTTTTTTAGGTTAGCGTGGGTTTCATCGTGGTATCTTCAGTCCTGTATGTGCATCATTGTACTTTGTGTCATTTGTCCCCTCCGACACTCCTCCCTCAGGCTCCTCCCTCAGGCTCCTCCCTTCTCCCTCTGGTTCCTTCTCCCCTCAGCTCCCTTCCTGCTTTCCTGTCCCGGCATGTTCCTTTACTTCCTCTCTACACATCTGTTTCCTTGGCTCTTATTTGTGGCTCTGTTTGTTTATTTCAATTTATGCCACAATTCATCCAGCAAAGGATTAAGATTACCCCCAAATACATTTGAGACCCCCAAAGTAAAGGCAGATTGGGGAGGAAATGTGGGAAGGGGAAACAGAAAAGAAAGCATAACAATTACAAGACCAGGTGGGGTGGTGCACAACTTTGATTTCAGACTCTGAGGCAGGTAGAGCTCTGTAGGTTCAAAGCCAGTCTGGTCTATATAGTGAGTTCCAGGACATCCAGTCTGCCCCAAGGGAAAAAAAGATCTCAGTTGAACAAAAATAAAAAATCCATTCATTTCTTTAATGGAATACCTGTGAACAGGCTCTATCAGAGCAGGCTGGTGGGAATCTTCAATCTTGGTCAAGAACTGTCTTTCCAGAGATTTCTATAGCTCAGGAAGATTTACCCAGACCTTCCCAAACTTTATGTTGAATCCTCCACTGTCCTCTCAGAGTTCCTTGACCTCTTCACTGTGGTCCCCAACTCCAAGTGTCCCCTTTAGGACAGCATCCAGAGGGCTCAGGGGACACTGGCCCGCCTTCAGCATCAGAGGCGAGCCCTGCCGGACACCAGGCTTTCGTCCGCCACTACATTTGGTTCGGGACTCAAAGGAGTCCCACCAGATCAGTCCCTGAACCCCAGATATTTGTTCTCTGGCTGTGGGAACCAAAGGCTTTTATCTCATGAGTGAGTCTGGAAACGGAAACCCCACAGATGACAAGAGCCATAAGGAGCCAACCTGAGAAAGAGATTGATGTGAGAGAGTGTGAAATTACCTCAGAACTGAGCAGCTGTGGCTGCTGAGCAGGCTAGAGTCTGGCCTGGCTTTTGAATAAAGCTGAATGATTTTTTTTTTAATGAGTTTGAGCAGAGTTCTCTCTTTTTCCTACCAAAGATCTACTGGTTGCCGTGGGATCCCATCTTTAACGCTGTTGAGGCTTCTGCTGACCATGCAAGTGTCCAAACCTGCAAACCATGACCCACCACATCTGTGCTGGGGCCAGTGGGGAGAGTGCTAGACTCATCTGAGGATTATTACAGCCATTTGCTTTCCCCTACTTTATAAGTATATGCTGTATATAAGTATTCTATATATAATATATACATATATAACTAACACACACACACATTATAAAAACATTCCTTATCACCTGGCTGACCTCAGAGTTGCTGGGAGATGCTAAGGCCGTGTGTGTTGTGGATTGTATGGGAAAGAACGCAGTAAAAGCTGCTAGCCCGAGATATGCAGCCCTGTGCCACTGAGTGACTGGAGCCTGGCCAGAGAGAGAGAGGACACACAGTTTGCCGTGTTCCCTCACAGGCAAGTCCCACCATTGAGGGGCAGCCTTCTTTTCCTGGTGCTGAGCCTCAAGATGCATTTTGAGAATGGTGCCATTGGTCACTGTGGTGGTATGTGTGGTATTTTGCAAGCTTGTCTTTATAAAATTGTTTACTGTGTGTGTGTGTGTGTGTGTGTGTGTGTGTACACAGGTACACACATGTCACAACCTGCCTGAGGAGGTCAGAGAACAACTCTTAGGAGATGGCTTTCTGTTATCTGGTGGGCTCCAGGGCCCAAGCTCATGTCGTCAGCCTTGCACGCAAGCCCCTCCACCCCCTGAGCCATCTCGCTGGCCCTTTTCCTGCCAAACACAAGCATTCAGAAGACCAAAGCTCATGGGTAATGCCCAGGCACGCATCTCAGTCAGCAATTCCATGCAGGGCAAACGCTGGACAGTAAGAACCGGGTTCTGCATCTGTCTCCTAATTGTGCATGTCAATGTCTTTACAGAGATGTGCAGCAGCTTCCGGTCTTAAAAGAGGTGTGCTATGATGACAATGAGATTGTGCACAAAGCCGCCAGCCAGCCAGCATCTCCAGAGATGTGAAGGCTTTTCCTTCCAGCCTGTCAAAAGACGCCTCCAATGCTTACGGAACACTGACAGAAAAGTGGGTTCTTTTTTTAGTGTCGGTCCTGAAGTCCTGACTAGATCTTGGGGAAGTCATTCCTCTTCGCTGTCTCACCCTTTCCCCACGAACACAGTGAGGGCTTTGGAAGTCCTGTGTTGTGGCAACCTGGATTTAGTGACCGTCACTCAGTTATGTGTTTCTGACTCACCAGGTTCCTCACAGCAGCCCTCACATCCTTGTTCCTCAGGCTGTAGATGATGGGGTTCAGCATGGGGGTCACCACCCCATAGAAGAGGGAGATGAGCTTGTCTGCAAGGTCCTGCTTGTCTGCCCCCAGTGGGTCCTTGGACTTGGGCTTCCCATACATGAAGAGGATGGTCCCATAGAAGACGATCACCACAGTGAGGTGGGCAGAGCAGGTGGAGAAGGCCTTCCTCCTCCCCTCAGCAGAGGGGATCCTCAGGATGGTCACGAGGATGAAGATGTAGGAGAAAAAAATAAAGAGAACCGGGACCCCCAAAAAGATCATATTGGCCACCCCCATGCTGATGACATTGATGGAGATGTCAGCACAGGCCAGTTTCAGGACAGCCAGGATCTCACAGGTGAAGTGATTGATGACATTGTCCCCACAGAAGGGCAGCCGCATTGCAAAAGACGTCTGAACCATAGAGGCAACAACACCACCTGCCCAGGAGCCGGCAGCCATGGGCACATAGGCAGCCTTGCTCATGACCACTGGGTACCTGAGGGGGTTGCAGATGGCCACATAACGGTCAAACGCCATCATACTCAGGAGCACACACTCCGTGGCTCCCATGGCAAAGGAGAGAAACATCTGCACTGCACAGGCTGAGAAGGAGATGGTCTTCCTGGGGGTCAGGAAGCTGTCGAGAATGAGGGGGACCGAGGAGGTGGTGTAGCAGATGTCCAGGAAGGAGAGGTTCCCCAGGAAGAAGTACATGGGCGTGTGCAGATGAGAGTCGAGGATGGTGACCAGGATGAGGACCCCGTTGCCCAGCAGGATCACCAGGTACATCAGCAGGATGAGCAGGAAGAAGGTTTTCTCCAGCGTTGGGTGGGCGGAGAGGCCCAGGAGAATGAAGCCGGTCACAGGGGAGGTCTCATTGGATCTGTCCATGGTACATCTGTTCTGAAACCTGCGGGAACTCGGAAATGAGCATCAACATCCTCTGACTCCAAAAGCTCCCAGGCAGCCAAGCAAAAGCCTTGTCCTGCCAAGCAGCAGGAGATGTCCTGAGAGCCCTGTCATCTCTGTGGCCTTGTTCACTTCTAGGAAAGGAAGTGGGGATAGATATTTAACTTCCTAACTTAGTGACAAGTTAAGCTGGACTATCCTTTCTGCAGAGGACAATTCAGAAAACGACAAAATGTATTAAACATCTCTGTGAAGCATTGGAGAGAAAATAAGAGAAATTATGCGGGTAAGACTTGGGGAGAATGAGGGTCCAAGGGAGTCAGCCCAGCTCTTGAGGCTTCTGCAGCCTCTGGAAGTCAACGAGAGGCCTTGGCACTCACTGGCAGCCTAGTGGAGAGAAAGAACAGACTTTGAGGCACAAGGGCCTGTGTGCAGGGCGCCAGTCCAAAGCAAACTCCCTCCCCTTTGTGATGGGATCCCAGGGCAGCACCACAGGACAAGGAAAATCAGGAGGGTGCAGGCATTTACAAGGGCTGGTTTTCACCTTCGGGTCCTCTAAGCCTCAGGACTGGACTGAGGAGATCACAGGCTTTTAGTGCTCTCGAGTCCACAACAGGAGCAGATCCAGACTTCTCCGAAGGAAGGTATCGTCACTCTGGTCTGATATCATTCCTGTGAATAGCTGCCATACGTTTCAAAAGAATAAAAAGCTGTGGGTTGAGGGATGGTCCTGTGGGTGAGGTTCTTGCTGAGCAACCATGAGGATCAGAGTTCAGGTCCCCAGAACCCTAATAGAAAACCAGATATTCACAATGGCCCACAGAAATCCCAGTGCTCAGGAGGCAGAGACCAGGGATCCCCATGGTAAACTGACTAGATAGGCTAGCCAAATCGGCATGGCACAGGTTCATCGGGAGAACCTGCCTCAGTCAATGAGTGAGGAAGACATCTGATGTCAACCCTGGCCTCCACACACACGTACACATGCACACATGTGCCCCCACACACATGTGGACTCATGTTTAACACATAGCACATGAAAGAGAGACATGTACACACGTGCGTTTCCACATACATGAACACACATGCATAACACATACCACAAGAGAGGGAGAGAAGTCTCTAAGTAGACAACACAAATGAAAGCCAGCAGAAACCCATCACTGGGCAGTGCCAGTCAAGACGACGGCCCCCTGACACTGACACCGTTTTGAGGGTCAGTCCTGACCACAATGACCCCACAGTGCCAAGGCTCAGCAGCCTGGTGACAGTTCTGTCCATTGGGCGGTGAGGGCGGCGAGGGAGGGCATTGAGGGAGGGCAGTGAGGGAGGACTGTGAGGGAGGACTGTGAGGGCTGTGAGGACAGCCCTTGGCCCAAGAGCTCTGACCAAATTCTCTCTCATCATCTGTTTCACTTTGCTCACACCAGTGTCTCTGCTTCTCTCCTGACAAGCCTCTGAGCCCCAGCCTGCGCTGGTCATTCTAGAGACACTTGATGGGCACCTCAGAATTTTAAGTTCCTCTCAACACTGGGATTTGTTCTGGGACAGCAGAGAAAACCAAACCAAACCAAAAGAACCCTCGAAACAATAATAAAAACCTTTTTGCAACTTTGAGCGTCTCATTACCGTCATCTCTAAAACGATCACTAACTTCCCAGGCAGTCATCCCTCCAAGGGCAGAGAGCGACTCAGTCCCTTCTCGGTCCTTACTCTGAAGCCGAGCCACTGCTCTGAAGTTAGACTTAGTGACCGTCCCCACGTTAGGGCCACAGTGACTCAGTCTGGGTTAACTTACTGGACACCTCCTCTGGGCTACTAGGTTTGAGGGACATCGCAGTAAAAAAGGCACAGTCCTTGACCCTAAGGGAAGATTCTAGTAGGGAGATAGCTGTGAAATTAAATAATTACATGGCCATCCATAACATTGTTATCAACGTCAAACTTATTACCCCGGGGGTCACAACAGGCCTTGGATGTACTAAGCAACCTGTTCACCCGCTGTCAGTGATATTTTTCCTTCCTACATTTCTGATAACCCTGGAGCCCAGGCTGGACTGTCAGGGTGATAGTGCTTCTCATTTCCTCTATCCAGCCCTGTCATCTGGAACCCCATCCCCAAGGCACTTAATCCCTCTCTACACATCCATGAATATTCGTGAATCCAAATATCCATGAATGGTTGGGTGTCAGCTTGAAGATAAGCAAGAATATACCTTTTTCTCCTAGGGCTTTAGAAATACAAAATATCTTTTAGAGGCAATATATCGCCCAGGAATCAACTACGAAGCTGATAGTGAGGATAGTCTCTAAGCTTGAAGACAGCCCAGGAGCACGGAGCATGCTGTCTGGGTAGCATGTGGGCTGGGCAGGGCAGTGCCCAGCTGGTTTTCCTCTCTCCTTTGGCCAGCCCTCGTGTCTCCCCCAGGAATCCAGGTTTGGTAAAGGAGACATTTCCTTTAATGTCACCAGCACCAAGTTGAGAAATCCAGCTCATTGGTACCATCAGACTGTGGACTCTACAAAATGAGGAAATGCCCAATGGTTGTAGGTGAGTGAGGGATTGCTGGAGAGGGGGAGCCAGCCCTTTCCTGGGTTCTGATCTTAGCGACTCCTGCAGCTTCCTTCACGGGTCTTAGTGATTCCGTGAGAACAGCACCACACCGCCTCCGGCCCCTCTGTTGTAGATAAGCTGATCTGAAATGTTGCTCTGCTAACGAAAGGTTGCTGTGGCTTTGATGAAAGCTTGCACTTACCTTTCTCGGGAACATGTTGACCAAGAAGAGCTGCTTTCTCAGAGTGGAAAAGAACTAGGCTGAGAGCCCAGAACGTGTGGCACCTAAAGGGTCAGGCTGGCCCTCTCCCCTCTACCGGCCTCTTGCGCTCAGGGCCCAACCTCCAAAGGTTGGGACTTTACCCTTAGAAGTCAATTTAAGTTCCAGTTAGTTCTCTGGGACCCTTTTAGTCCCCGAAGTCATTTAAAGCTCAGGAAAGTATGTTGTCCTCAGCTTAGAAACTTCCTATCCTTCTGGGATATCATCCCTAAGATCCAATTATACGGAAGAACTAGAAGTTTGCTGACTGCTTCTTCTCATGCTTTTCTTCCCTCTCTTCCCTCTCTCTGAACAACATAATTGGACCAATGGTGTCCATAGCTGCTTAGTGATTACTGGATTCTTCAAGACCCTCTCCCCAGCTCGTCTTCTTCAGGGCTGTGGCCAAGTCCTATTAGCCCTACCTAGTCTGTGCTCATGCAGTGGTCTGGGGGAGATGTCTGAGTGAAAAACTTACATCTTTACATTTTTATCCTCTTGAGTCAAGCACTGTGAAACAAACAGCTATAATCTCCCTCAGTCCTCACTGGGCGTCTAATAAAACGATTGTCCATCTGGCTCATATCCCTTAACCTTATAGGAGTCACTGACTGAGCGTGACCCAGGACAGGGTCTAGAGAATGGGCTCATTGCTGTGGAACAATATTTGTACTCTGTAAATGTGTATTGTCTCATTGGTTAATAAAGAGCCGGCTGGCTGTCTCAGCAAAAACCTCTGCCTACGTATGGCACCGACATCCACATAAAACCTGAGAAAGCTTTAAAAAAATTCTAAGCACACAAAAGTGAGCCAAACACAGCTTCCTAGTCTCATGTCCCTCATGCTGGCCGTGGTACAGAGACACATCTCCCAGTCGCTGCCTGCAGGTGTGAGCTGCCAGTGTGAGTCCTGCCAGCATGGCATGAACTAAGCCACCTGGCAGGTTCCCACAGTATCTCATGTGGGCCTCGGTACAGAGGGGCATCTCCTGGCCGCTGCCTGTGGGATGGAGGCAGCCACCAACTGCCATGCACTAGCACCATGCACTAGCACCATGCACTAGCACCATGCACTAGCACCATGCACTAAGCTGAGCAGTGCTGGCAACTCACATAACAATTTAAGATTCATCTCATGCCATCAAAAAACAATACAGATGCTCAGGAAAGACAGATCCAGATGGGGAAAAAAACTCTAAACAGGTTACAGTGTGTTTAAAAATATACATAGCTGGGCTGGAGAGATGGCTCAGTGGTTAAGAGCACTGACTGCTCTTCCAGAGGTCCTGAGTTCAATTCCCAGCAACCACATGGTGGCTCACAGCCACCTGTAATGAGATCTGGTGCCCTCTTCTGGCCTGCAGGGACACATGCAGGCAGAACACTGTATATATAATAAATAAATACATCTTAAAAAATATACATAGGCTTGGGAGAGAAAAGAGAAAGGATTATAGTCATAGATTAAAATATAGTTTAAAAGCAATAGTAAAGTCCTTAAAAAGGTGTAAAGTAAAATTAAAAAAGAAGCCACATAAAGATGGGAAATACAACAGAGAGTCTGGGTCCTGTGTGTTATTGTGTTGTTTTTGAATTTTTTGACTGCTGATGAATGAGCGATAGATGCTAAGAGACACTGGATGAAAACTGCTAGATTAAACCAACCTATAAATATTTTAAACTATCTTGACTTCAAAAATGGAAGTCAAAAGGTGTGTTGCTTTGGGGAAGAGGTTATGCTTTTATTTCCATAGGAAATGAGAGGCTATGGATTCATTCCAGGTTGATAGGAATCAGATTTGATCAGGGAAGATTCCCTTAAAATCCTGGCTACAGACACAAATAAATAAACCTAGAAAAATTACAAAACATGTAATATATATTTTACCTGCTCAAACATAAAACAAAAAGTCATCTTTGGCTAACTTGTGTACAACACACTGTCTATATTTGTATTAATACAGAGATGTATGTTACCTTTAAAGGTTTATGTATTTTCATAGCATGGGAACCAGGCACCAATAGGTGACCCAGGTGATCTAGCATCTCATAATGCCTCTGTTACAGTTTCCTCAGAGTTCTGCATCCAGAACAGCTTCAAGGATGCTGGCTGAGATGGTCCAGCCTCACAAACTACTCCAGTCAAGACTTAACCATTATCTTAAATTTTCTCAGGGTCCCC